CAGCCACTAGGGGGCAACTTGACCTGGGGGGGGGTCCCTGAGGCCTGATCATCCCCCCCATTAATGCAGGGGTCTGGAGGGGCGAGTGGGGTACCCAGCTCCTCTGGATCCAGGAGTCCAGGCTCCCAGCCTCCTCCCTCAGACCCAGGAGTCCAGAGTTCCACGTTTTCAGAGAATCGGGCAGCCATTCCTCTATCCCCACTAATGCAAAAAAATTTTCTGGAACGAGATCCAGATATCCAAGTATTAAGTCCCTAGTCAAAAAGACCCCACGTTTCTTTAAGAGTTATGCACCTGATCTTGCCCCAATGTTCTTTCCTCCATTCCACTCTGGGAGAAGGATCCCAGTGATTTCCAGTCCAAATCAAACTGAGGACACGTCTCCCCACCTCATCACTAATCTTGGAGGGACCCAAGCCTCCCTCCACTTCAGTTTAAGCCAGCCCGCACCCCCTGAGCCCAGCCCCGTGCCCAGCCCCAGGCTGGGTGAGGCTGGGCGAGGCTGGGCGCGTATAGCAGTAATCACTGCCCCCTGGTGGCTCACAATCCAATGGGTGACATACTGTGATGACCCAGAGTGGGCAGGGCTAGGGGGTGGGGGAGAAACAGGGGCCTACAGGAACCCAGAGTGGGCAGCTGAGCCAGCGTGGGAGGTCAGAGAGGACCTCCAGGAGGAGGCATCCAAGCTGAGACTGAAAAGAAGAGGAAAAGGTATCCCAGTCACAGATTTGTCCGAAGCAGCACAAGCCGGGGCAGAAAGAGAATTCATTGAGAGGACGTGGGATCTCTCACAGATTCCTGGGAGCGATTAGAGAACCAGGACGGGAAAGTAAGCCGTGAAAGGCAAAGGAACCACCGGCATTGGGCTCCAGCCTGAGCCCAGCCCCGATCATGCCACAGAACTGGTCTGATGAGGATACACTGATGCCCCGAGGACCCCTGAACACCAACCAGTCACCTCGCTGCCTCTGCTGCCCCAGCAACTGGCTGAAGGTGCTCTTCTCATGCGCTGCTGCTCAGAACAAATCACGCCAACACTTAGTGGTAAACACTAAGGATTTGGGGACAGGCTCAGGTGGGTGGTTCTAGCTCAGGGTGCAAGCAGGTGGCACCTGGTCCAGGGCCTCTGGGGGCTGGACAGATGGCTTTCTGCAGTCAGACCTCTCCATGGGGTCGCCACACTTGCTAGCTTGGGCTTCCCCATGGCATGGCCACCTAAGGCAGCCTGACTGCTCGTAGGGTAGCTGATGGCTTCGTGGGAGAGTCTCCCAGTGACCCTTTTCTACCTAATCTTGGGAGTCTTGCAGCCTCACTTCTGCCACATTCTCTTCTTTACAGGAGAGTCACAACATGGCATAGATATAAAAAGAGGAAGGAACGTAGGTTTCCCTGCTCTTGGGGGAGTATCGAGATCAGATTGTTAGAAAAGCATATGGAATGAGAGATTCTGTTGCATCCATCTTTGGAAAATACAATGTGTCCCAACCACAAGAGCGTAGAACCAACCAGTCCCTGCTTCTTTGGCATTATTAAATCCTAATTCAAAGTACAGTAGGATTTAGGGGCGCCTGGCTGGCTCAGTCGGAAGAGCATGTGACTCTTGACCTTGGGATCGTGAGTTCGAGCCCGGCGCTGGGTGTGGAGATTACTTAAATAAATAGAAAACTTAAAAAAAAAAAAAGTTCTTATCTAAACTTTCCCTGCACAATAAACTGTTGTCGTCCAACCCAGAATGCATTTATACTGCCCCCCCCCCCAGACAACACAGACTTTCAGTAGTTACATTTTCCAGATGCTCTGGAATGACTGGGGAGTCCCCATTCCCCAGCAAATGTGTCATGATCCCATATTCCACAAGCTGTGAACTAGTTTTAAAGTCAACCATCACACACTATGTAAAATAACAGGATAAAGGTACCGGAGTCCCCCTTATCTGCAAGGGGAATGTTCCAAGATTGCTCCTGGACGCCCGAAACCAGACAGTATCCAACCCTGGATATACGGTATTTTTTAACTAGGGACTTAGTATTTGGCTATCTGTACATACCTATGATAAAGTTTAATTGGCAAGTTGGGTACACTAAGAGATTAACAATAACAATAACTAGAACAGTTATAACAATGTCCTGTAATTAGAGTTATGTGAATGTGGTCTCTTTCTCAAAATATCTTCTTGTACTAGACTCACCCTTCTTTTTTTTTTTTTTTTTAAGATTTTATTTATTTATTTGTCAGAGGGAGCACAAGCAGGGGAAGAGGGAGAGGGAGGAGCAGGCTCCACACTGAGCAAGGAGTCAGATGCGGGGCTCGATCTCAGGACCCTGGGATCATGACCTGAGCCAAAGGCAGACGCTTAACCGACTGAGCCACCCAGGCGCCCCTAGACTCACCCTTCTTGTGATGATGTGAGAAAATAATTGCCTACATGATAAGATGTAGTGAGGGGAGAGGCACCAGCATTGTGACATATCCTCAGGGTACTCCTGCCCTTCTGAAATATACATCAGGAGGAGGATCATCTGCTTCCAGACCACTGTTGACCGAAGGTAACAAACCATGGAAAGGGAAACCGCAGATAGGCAGGGCTGACACGGAGGAAAAATAAGGCTCGTTAATTAAAACGTATAAGTGTATACACATGACGCAGGAGGGGGATGGGATCGGGAAATTCATATATGGCACAGATCTTGACTCTGCTCCTCGTACCAAGCACTGTTCTAGGCGCTGGAGATACAGTGGTAAACAAAACGGTTTCCGTTCTCTTAGCACTTAGGTTCTACACAAGATAAACAATAAAAAATAAATACATGGCATCAATAAGTGTTGCAGAGGAGAAACGTCATAAGGGAAATAGGAATCGCTGGGATAGCGGGAATTGCTATTTTAGATAAGATGGCCAAGGGAAACTGATGTGGTGATGTTGGAGAAGAGATTTGAAGCAAGAAGGGAAGGAGCTGTGTGGGGAAGAATGTCCCCGCAGAGGGAAGAGCAAGTGCAAAGGTCCTGAGGCCAGAACATGCCTGGCATTGGAGGAACAGCAAGGAAGCAAAGAGACCCATGCGGCAAGAACAGAGCTGGCAAGGGGGAAGAGAAAGAAAGACGGAGTCAGGGAGGTAACGAGGACCGGATCGAGGACCTTGTGAGCCATGGAGTGGATCTTAGCTTTTACTGAGAGGAGCCCTGGAAGGATTCTGAGCAGAAGAGTGATGTGGGTTGACTCACATTTTACCGGGATCCCTCTGGCTGTTTTGTGGGAAGAAATTGTAGGGGACAAGGGCAGATGACGTTACAGTACTAGTTTCTGCAAGTCTGCGAGGGACTGTGGCTGGTATTTATGCCTTCCCTCCTTCATACACACTCCAGACGGTCCTTCCCCTTCGCCCAGAACCTTGGCCGGTTGGATTCTTGAGGCACGTGGGAGTGGGAGTATCTGATGAGAGGGTGCCTACCAGAGTCCAGCCCAAGCAAGTAAGGTGCACAAGCGGGAGCCAGAGGAGCTGGGGAACGGGTGTCCGGGGTCGCAGTGTGTGAGCTTGTCCCCGGCAGCAGTTGGAGTTGTATTTGTCTGTGAGTGAGTTTGTACCATGTGTCCTGCGATGATCCAGGGAGCCTGCGTGCTCCAGACTCTCAAGCCCTGCAAACCTTCCCTGAGCACCTGCTCTGTGTCTGGCCTTTTGCTGGGGACACAGCAGTGACCAACAGAGACAGCGCCCGCCCTGCCCTCGTGGACCCACAGTCCAGTGGGGGGGGCAGATTAATCCCCAGACAGGATGACCCAGAATGTGCAGGACTGGGGTGGGGGAGCCCAGGTGATTGAGGGAGCCTAGAGGGAGCACTTGACCTAGCCAGGGGATCAGGGAAGGCATCCTGGAGGAGGTGATGGTGCAGGTAATACTAAAAGGTCTCCTCTTCCAGTGTAACAATTGCTTTCCTGTATCACTGATGAATAAAGTAGCCTTGACCAGTCTGACCAATAACTCCCAAGCTGACCTGTAATCTAAGCCTTCCTTCTGTGCCGGATGGGCAAAGCCATCTTACCAGTGACCCCCATTCTGGCCAGTGTCGAGGGCTAGTACTCCCTATAACCAGTGACATCTCTCCCTTCCCCAGCCCCCAGAGGATTTTGTCCCCATCAGACCTGGCTTGTGAGAAGCCTTGAGCAGTCGGGATCTGTGAGCCCCCCCCCCCCGCCCCACACCTGATCTGTGACCCTTCCTTCAGACCCCTGGCTCTGCTCCTCCCCACTCCCCTCAGGTGCCCTGGCCTGCTCCCCTCCCCCACTCACCTGCTCCCTCCAGCCTGATTCTCCTCCCATCCCCCCCCAAGGTTGGGAGGGAGTGGAGGGGAGAGGAAGGGAGGAAGGGGGGTGGCATTCCTGGGATTCCCCGGGATGAGGGGAAGAGAGGGAGGGCTACACGGAGGAGAGCCAAGGGAAGAGCACCCCACTGCACTCCCTGCCCCCCACCCTCATCACAGAGTCCTGGGCTGAACTCAGGTTTGAAGACCATTAAATTTAAGAGATTGAACTGATGGGTTCCAGGCCACTGGTCAGACAGGAAAGCAGCCCTGAGCAGTGGCTACAGGGGAGGGCCTCACAAGGCATACAGGAAGAAGCTGTTCTAGGCCACTGATCAAGCTGGGCACCACTGGTTGTACTGGGAGAGGCCGGCGCATGCCCTAATGGCCCCCAGTCAGAACGAGGGGGAGAGGGTCCACGGCCGTGCGCTGAGGTCCCAGCTCAGGGCACTGGTTAGACTGGTCTGTCAGGCCACCGCCGGGGGCACTGGTCAGCCTGAGCCAGGCGGCCCAGGGCTTGGGGGCAGAGGGAGCCCCGCTCCGGGCCCAGCGCTGGGAGGTCCACTCCGGGCAGTGGGAGGTCCTGGCGGGGCGCCCGGGTTTGGGGGTGGGGAACCAAGGGGGGCCGGGAGGGCGGGGCGGGGCGGGGCTGCCAGGGGCGGGGCCTGGTCGCTCCCAGCCCCCGGGGCCGCCGAGCTGCAGCCCGGGCAGTCGCCGCCGCCGCCACCGCGAACATGGAGCCCCGGGACGGCCGGGCCCGGGCGCGCAGGGCCCCGCGGCTGCTGGTGCTCGCGCTCCTGCTGGGGGCGCACCCAGGTATGGCTCTGGCGGGGAGCAGGGCGCGACTGGGGGCGGACCCCGGGAAGGGAAGGGGTAAGGGGCTTTCATCGAGCCCAGGAAGCCAAACCTGGGACCCCCCCCTCCCCCCGCCCCGAGGAAGAGGGATATGGGAGCATGGGGGATACCCCTCCCAATGTGAGACCTGGGGACAGCCAGGCAGAGGGGCTGGGCATCCCACAGCAGTGGATTAGACAGCGCGGGAGAAGTCAGCCCCCTCCAAACTCGGGACCAAGGAGTGAGGAGGGCCCTCAGCCCCTGCAATCTGGGTCTCGAGACTCCTGCTGCCTCAGACCCAGGAGTCCGGGCCTCCAGTGGCTGGAGTGGCTTCCTCCAGGACACAGGAGACCCAAACCCCAGGCCTTCCCTTGGAAAGGTTCTCAAGTTCTGCGAGGGTCAGGGACCCTGTGGCTAGAACCCAGTGAGTCACGTGCTCTTGAGGGTTCCCCCAACCTGGTTTCAGAGCCCAGACTCTGTAAAGAACCCACCTCCCTCATGGACGAGCTGGAGCACTGGCCCTAGGCAGTGATGATGGAACAGAGTGTTTCCTAGTGACAGGGCCCCCCTTCCTGGGGCCCCAGATAAATCCACACACCTGTGTGGTGGTGGGAGGGGAGGAGGCCCAGAGGGGCTGGCAACAGAGGGACAGAGAGATGGGGGAGATTAGGGCACAGAGATCTCTCCATCTGTCCTCCTGTCTGTTACTCAGACTAGCCCCAGGCACTAGCCTGGCCCCACACCCCCTCCCCTGGGACAGGCCTGGGCCAGAGGTGGGTGCCTGGGAATCCAAGCCCCTGGCACAAGCATGGTAAATAGTGGGTCCCCAGGGGCAGGGCTGGTCAAGCTGGGCGGGGAAGGGAAGGGAGGTTCTAAGAAGTGAGAGCTGATGCCAGGATGCCAGCCCAGAGGGTGAGAGAGCATGGTTTCCCCAATGGGAACAGCTCTATCTGCCAGGATCCTGGGATGGGAGTCCAGGCGCCCCCCCCCGCAGCACTCCCCCCACCCCGCCTGCTCCCTTCCGCCTCAGGACCCAGGCTCCTGGGCCTCACCCCTCTCCTATTCGGAGGGGACACACCTTACCCCCTTCCCTGCTCCATCAAAGAGGCAGAGGGGCCAAGGGGCGGGTAGGGGGTTCTGGCGCCAGGCTGGGCAGGTCTGGGCCAGCCTGTCCCTCCCACATTCCTGAAACCTGCCCAGCCCTGTCCCCCCTTACCGCCCCCACACACCCATACCTCAGCTGCAGGCTCAGCCCCAGCCCCCTGACTCATGACAAGAGACCCAGGGCCTGAGAGAGATGGAGACAGAGTCCCAGGCTGACAGAGAGGCAAAGACTGTGGACTAGAGATGGGAGACCCAGAGCGAGAGACACACGGGCAGAGATGGAGAGAAATCTATCCCTGGCACCATGCCAGGCTCTGCGCAGGGTGCTGGAGGCCAAGGGATGAGCCAGTGCTGGCCCTGCCCTTGAGGGGCGGCTGGTCTAGTGGGAAGAACAAGGACAGGTGCAGTTTTACCCCCAGGAGGATTGGACAGAGGGCCCTACGTGGTCCAGGGGAGGAGCCCTTAATTCTGTGAAGAGAGAGATGGAGAGAAATGCTGATGGATTTGCAAGCTCAGAGATGCAGACATGAGAGATGGAGGGAGGCAGGACCTGGGGCTGAGGGATAGGGGGCTGAGGGTCTGGACTGTGTCTGAGGGAGGAGGGGGCTGGAGGCCTGGACTCCAGGGTCTGAGGGAGGAGAGCCCTGGAAGCCAGGACTCCTGGGTCCTGGGGGAGAAGGGGCTCAGAGGCAGAGAGAGCTCAATGGCCCTCCTGCAGGTGCCCAGGCTGAGGAGCCCTTGTCTGGGTCCTCCCTGGTGGAGGTGATGAAGGGGGACCCCGTCGCCCTGAACTGCACCGCCTTGGGGGCCCACGACCATTTTGTGCTGGAGTGGTTCCTGGTAAGTGCTGCAGGCGGGGGGCCAGAGGGTGGCCAAGGGGGCTGGGAGTCAGGGCACTGCAGGGCTGCACACATTCATCCCCTCATCAGAGCCCAAAGGACCGAAGAGCTCCATCCAGCTGCCTTTACATTTTACAGGTGGGGAAGTTGAGGCCAAGCAAGGGGAAGGATTCTCCAAGGTCCCCTGGTGTCTGGGCGCAGCTGAGACTGGAAGGAAGATGCCCCCTTCGGAGCGCAGGCTCTTGAGAGAGAACATTCAGAGACAGAGGAGGATATAGTTGCCGGGGGGGGGGGGGGGGGGGGGGGGGGGCGGGGGGCGGGGAGACTAAAGGAAAAGAAAGAAAAGAAGAGGAGATAAGCGGCCGAGGGACAGGGCGGGAGAGGGAGACAGAGGAGGAGAGAGAGGAGCAGAACAGGATGGAGGACGAGGGACCTAGAGAGAGGAGACAGCCCCACGGGGCCCTGGGAACAGGGGCCAGACCAGAGGGAGGTGACGAGAGGAGAGAGCCAACCCGCAGGACAGTGGGGGAGGGCAGGCCAGGCAGCTCTGGCGCTGAGGCCCTCCCCGCCCACAGGCAGACCGCTCTGGGGTCCGCCACCACCTGGCCTCGGCCGAGGTGCAGGGCTCCGAGCTCCAGGGCCGGGTGCACGACTCCCGGGGCCGCAGCCCCCCATACCAGCTGGACTCCCGGGGCCGCCTGGTGCTGACCGAGGCCCAGGTGGGCGACGAGCAGAACTACGTGTGTGTGGTGAGGGCGGGCGCGGCGAGCACCGAGGCCACCACGCAGCTCCGCCTGTTCGGTGAGTGTCTGCGGGCACCCCGGAAAGGGAGGGTGGGTGAGAGCCTGGGAAAGGGGCTCCTGAAGGTACCGTCTCCCCCACAGCGAAACCGGAGGCCACGGAGGTGCTCCCCAACAAAAGGATCCTGTCCGTGGTGGATGACTTTGCCCAGGAGGTACCTCGGACGGGACCCTGATTCCAGGGCCCTGGGGGAGGAAGGGGCTCGGAGGTTTGCACTCCTGCGTCCTGCGGGAGGACAGGGCTGGGGGACCCAGGCTCCTATATCTGAGTGAGGAGAAGTCCCGAGGAAAGAGGGGGCCGAGGCTTCAGAGTCCTGGGTCAGAGCCCAGGGCCATGCCTGTGTCTGTCTCAGATCGCCACCTGCAACAGCCGCAACGGAAACCCGGTCCCTGAGATCACGTGGTATCGCAACGGGGAGCCGCTCCGGATGCCCATGGAGGTGAACGCAGGTGAGCCCAGCTGGCCGTGGGATGGAGCTGGGTGGCGGCCCAGGCTGGCTGACCGCCTCCTCCCTCTCTCCCAGACGGCTACATGACCAGCCGCACGGTCCGGGAGGCCTCGGGCCTGCAGTCCCTCGTCAGCACCCTCTACCTGCGGCCCCGGAAGGCCGACCAGGACGCCAGCTTCCACTGCTCGGTGAACTACCAGCTGCCCACGGGCCGGCGCGGCCACCTGGACAGCCCCACCTTCCACCTCAGCCTGCACTGTGAGTCCGTGCGGGTCCTGACCTCCCCGACCTGGGACCCTCCAAGCCGGCCAGTGGTCCGCCCTGACTTCGGACCCCCTCCCGCACCCTGAACCCCACGGAGTCTCACGGCTAAACGTGCTCCACACACTCTCACACCGAACTGGGTCCTGGAATCTCGCCCTGCCCTGCCACCCGCACTGACCTCTGACCCTCGGCTGGTACTCTCCGCTCAACCTCTGACCTCTGGTCCCTGAGCTCAGACTAAGTGTGAACCTGAGCTGTGAAAGATAAGACCTCTGCCCTTTGACCAACCACAGCCTGCCCCTTGATTGCGGCACTGACCTCTTTCCCTTAACCCCGCCCCTGCCTTTTACCCTTGACCCAACCTACCCTTGACCCTGATCATGAGTCTGCCCTGACCTGTCTGTCCCTCTTGCGCTTTCCCTTAGACCCCACGGAGAACGTGGATTTCTGGGTGGGCAGCCCGTCCACCACCGAGGGCTGGGTGCGCGAGGGTGACTCTGTCCAGCTGTTTTGCCGGGGGGACGGCAACCCCAGCGTGGAATACATATTTTTCCGCCTTCAGGTGACTCACCCCATCGTTCCTTTGGAAGTCCCGGCCCCTGACCTCTGCGACATATTGGCCTCCACCAACTTCTGACCTTTCACCTGGGTTGGCCCCTGGCTTTAGCGAGGCACCTGACTGGTGACCCAGGAGCTAACGGGACCTCTGAGCCCGGATTTGAGAGGGTCCTAACTTAGCGTGATACCTGACCTGGGGGACCCCTGGCCTAGAAGGGCCTCTGCCCCCTTACTTGAGGGGGCCCTGACCCTAGTATGACGCTAACTTGGTGACCCCTGGCCCTACAAGATGACTGACTCCGACCCGGGTGGCCCCCACCTAGCATGACCCTGCCGGCCCAGGGCGGCTCCTGAGCCGGGTTCCTCATCCCTGGTCACCCAGGACAAGCAGGAGGACGTGCTGAAAACAAATCTTGAGGGGAACTTGACCCTGGAGGGGGTTCAGCGGGGCCAGAGCGGGACCTACGGCTGCAGGGTGGAGGATTACGACGCTGCTGAGGACGCGGTGCTCTCCAGAACCGCGGAGCTGCGCGTGGCCTGTGAGCGTCCCGGGAGAGCGGGCGGGGGGGGGGCCCTGGCCCCAGCGGCCTCCTGGCCCTCACCCCCGCGGCCCCGCCGCCAACCCTTTCTCTCCATTTCTGTGGTCCTTCCTGGTCCGGACGGTCCCCTCCGCCCCCCAGGTGCCTGCCCCAGCCCCCTCTGGTCTCCCACACAAGGCAGCCAGAGAGCTCACTCCAAAGCACAGACCTGCCTGCCCCCAGCTCCGAACCTCCCATGGCTCCCCAGTGCCCCGCAGGAGAAAGCCCACATGATCCACCCCGGCCTTCAAGGCCCACCTGGCTGGCTTCACCTCTGGCTGACCCTTCTCCCCACCCAGGCATTCTCCTCATCCCAGCCAAGCCCCTCTCCTCATTTTTAGGTCAACTCCTCTGCTTTCTACTTTCCATGTCTAGCCAGTCTCCAGGGTCCCAGTCTTCTAGAAAACCTTCTTAGTCTGCTCGCGCCCGAGTCCTGGGCAAAGGCTCTGTTCCTCCTTGGCACGCCTTCTGCCTCCTTTCCCGGGGCTAGACCCTGTGGCTGGGGTCGGGGAGACATCTGTGAACAACACAGCCCAGTCCCCACCTTCTCAGAGCTCCCAGCCCAGTAGGGGAGACAGGTGGTAGAGGGTGAGCAAGACGCCTTGAGTAGTGATGGGGCATCTACAGGGACTAACACAGAGTGAGGGGATAAGGGATTGGCTGGGTAAGTGGGGACTGTTTTAGACGGAGGATGTCACAGGCTCCGTCCCGTCCTGGGAAGCAGATTCTGGCTCGAAGGTCTGCAGGCAGGAAGTTTATGGGAAATGGCTTGGGATCCACATCTATGGAGGCTGAGGAAGGGAAGGAAGCAGGATTGGGCAAAGGCAGAAAACGGGCTGCAAAAGCCTCAGTAGGCCCTGCAGGGCCCTGGGAAGCTGGCCTTCATAATTGTCCCCAGTTGGGGCGAGGGGACGGGGCCTTTCTACCCCCATGTCAACCAGTCATTGCACGTGGGCCGCCCAAGGAAGGGGGCATGACCTTGAGCAAGGGGCTCTCTGCAGCTGAGGCAGTTCCCAGAGAGGGCCGACAGCTGAGGGCTGACAGCTGACATCCTTCTCAACAGCTGGGGGGATAAATCCTTCAGTGCTGGAGGGGAAAGCTGAGTGTCCACAACAGGGTGTCAGAGGGGCCTCTCTGAGAAGGGGCCATTTGAGTAGGAAACCAAAGTATGGAAACAGAAATATGAAGAGCCCGAAGAGGAGCTTCCAGGCAAAGGGATCAGCAAGTGCAAAGGCCCTGAGGCAGGACCCAGCCATGGCACACTGGAGAAAAACGGCAAGAGAGTAGGGTAGCTGGAGCTCGGGACAGAGGTGGGGGGGGATGAAAAGTGAAGGTGAGGAGGGAGGCAGAGGTCAGACCAGGCAGGCTCCTGTAGGGTTGGTCAAGGAATTTGGCCTCTATGCCAAGGGTTTTGGGCTGAGGGCAGGGCTGACCAGTGTGTGTTTTGAAAAGATCCATCTGGCAGCTTGGTGGGGGGATAGACTGGAGGGGTGGAGAATCCTGGCCAGCAGGGAGACCCAGTGAGGAGGTGGCTGCCGTGGTCAAGGCCGTTGGTCCTGGAGGTCAAAGATGGCGAGAAGTGGGAGGGTCCGTTTCGGAGGCAGAGCAGACAAAACTGGCTGAAAAGATGGGTGATGGGCTTCGGGTGGTAAGTCAGAGAAGGAACACCTCACACCTCCCCAGTCGTGCATTAACTGCGGGCCCAGATGTCCGCTCAGGAGGAAGGTGGTTGAGTTAACCATGGGTCTTGGAGTTGGATTTGGGCTCCAGACTTGGCCTGGGTGGGAGTGTGGCAAGCTCGTGGAGGTGGGGAGAACCAGGAGCACTGACAGGCTCTGCTTACGTGTGCATTCACGTCTGCACCCCCAACAGACCTGGAGAGCCCCTAACCGCATGGGTGAGGGTCGGGGGAAGGTGACAGTCTGTCCCCCCCTCCAGACCTGGACCCCCTCGAGCTCAGCACTGAGGAGGAGCTTTCCTTATACTTGGGCAACAGCACAACCGTGAACTGCTCCGTGCGAGGTCTGCCCACCCCCGCCCTGCGCTGGACCAAGGTGAGAAGGAGAAAGGAGCCCCCAGCCCTGGAACCCTCGGCCCCGTACCCTCGACCCTGCCCTCACACCCGCCTGGCCTCCCCCTTCTCTCCCTGCCAGGACTTCGTCCCCCTGGGGAACGGCCCCACCCTCTCGCTGAGCTCCATCACCTTCGATTCGGCAGGCACCTACGTCTGTGAGGCCTCCATGCCCACGGTCCCCCTCCTCAGCCGCACCCAGAGCTTCAAGCTGCTGGTCCAAGGTTTGGGCTGGGGCAGGTTTGGATGGGGACCGTGGAGGAGGGGGTGGGGGGGGGCCAGGACAAACGGCTGGTCCCTCTGTCTGCTATTCCTCTCCCCTCTCTCCTTCTCTTCCTCTCCTCCTCCTTCCCCTTCTCCGACGGAGGATGGACCTCCTGCTCTTCCCCACCCCCCACCCCCAGGGCCACCTCAGTTAAGCCCAGAAGAGCCTCAGCCCCAGACAGGGGACAGCTGGAAAGAAGGAGAAGAAGTCAGGCTGGTCTGCTCTGCCCGTGGGTATCCAGAGCCCAAACTCAGCTGGAGCCAACTGGGAGGCAGTGTAAGGGACTGTCCTCTCCACCCTGAGCCCCGCGGGACCCAGGCACCCCTCCCCAAGCCCCTCGGGGGACCCTGCCCCCTTCGCCGATCCAAGCATTTGTGCCCCTCCACTTCCTGGGGGACTGGACTGTCTTCACCTCCGCCCTCGCCCCAGCCCTCGATCCCAGGGGCCGGGGCTAACCCCAGCCTCCACAGCCAGCGGAGCCGGCCCTCAGAGGGCACGGCTGGGTGAGCAGCTCCCTGACCCTGAAGGTGACCAGTGCCCTGAGCAGAGAAGGTGTCTCCTGCGAGGCCTCCAACACCCACGGGAAGAAGCAGCACGTCTTCCACTTCGGCTCTGGTGAGGAGCTGCGGGGGTGGGAGGAGGCCGCCCGCGGGGCCGACAGGGCCCTGCCGGCTGACCGCCCCCCCCCGCCCTGTCCCCGCAGTGACCCCCCAGACTGCCCAGGCCGGCGTCGCTGTCATGGCCGTGGCCGTCAGCGTGGGCCTCCTGCTCCTGGTTGTGGCTGCCTTCTATTGCATGAGACGCAAGGGTCGCTCCGGCTGCTGCCAGCGGGGGGAAAAGGGGGCTCCGTGAGTGGCCCGCAACCTTGGAATTGACCTCTGCAACCCCACCCCGTCCCTACACCCACCTCTGACCTCACCTCCCACCTCGAGCCCAAAGCCAGCCCATGACCAGCCCCAACCACATCCTGTCTTCAACCCCAAACCCAGATACGTCCCCAGCCCCGACCCCAACCGCAACTGCATCCCGTCCTCAGCCCTAAACCCAAGTACGTCCCAGCCCCAGCCCCATCGCCAAATGAAACGCAGTCCCCGTCTCCAACCTCAGACCCAATCCACAGCAACACCCAACCCGTAACCATCCCCAAACCCGTTCCCAAGCCCTACTGCAGCCCATCCGAAGCCCCGGTCTCCTCCGTGACCCCAACCTCATCCCCATCCCCAACCCCAAACCCGGTTTATAGCCAACCTCAAATCTGTCCTCTGCCCCTCCGACGCTAACCGTATCTCCACATCCTCAACGCCAGTCCCCAACCCACCTCTAACCTCACCCTGAACCCCGGGGTCTCCCTCAACTGCCTCCCCAGCCCCAGGGCCCCTCCCTCCCCATCTCGCTCCCGTTCCTTACTCCAGTTCCATCTCCATCTATCCTCTCCGGGCTCCATCACGTGGCCACCCGCCACTCCGATCCGCAGCCACCCCCAAACCCATCCCTGGAGCTGACCCCCAACCAAGTCCCCGCCTCCAGCTCCGAAAGCAGCCTACCCACCCATCCCTAGTCCCGGTACCATTACCACGCCCACCCCATCCCCCTCCCCGTCGCACTCCTGCCTGTCCCCCAAGTCCCTCCTCATCCCAAACAACCCCCTCCTCAGTCCCTTCCCCAGGCATGACCCCCTCCAACATGCTGCCTCCTCCCCCCAGGCCACCTGGGGAGCCCCAGCTGAGCCACTCAGGGTCAGAGCGGCCTGAGCAGACGGGCCTTCTCATGAGAGGTGCCTCTGGAGGAGCCAGGCATGGCAGCGGGGGCTTCGGAGATGAGGTGGGTGAGGGCCCTGGCACCCTGAGGGTGGGGGGGAGCCGCGGGGGTGTGGTGGGACAGCCCCTGTGGGGCCCGGGCCCAGGCTGACCTCTCCATCTCCTCCCAGTGCTGAGCCCGAGGACCTCCAAGAGACTCTACTGGACCTGACATCAGAGAATCAGCATCAGATAACCAGCCCTGCGCACGCCTCCGCCTGCCCCCACCTTCCCTCTTCCCCCTCCGGCCCCCCCCCCTTCCCTTCCTTCCTCTGCAGGCTGGGCAGGGACCTACAGCAGCTACTGCTTGAAAGGGAGGGAGGGAGGGTAGGTAGGAGGGGACCTTCCTCCAGGGAATGTGACTCTCCCAGGCCCCAGAATAGCTCCTGGACCCAAGCCCAGGCCCTGGCCTGGGACAGGACAAGGCTCCGAGGCTCTGAGGGTCGGATGGCCAGGGCGATTTTTACCTCCTGCCTGCATCGCTGGTCCCCCGCCCCACCTGACATCCTACTGCATAGTCTGACACTGGATCCCCACCCCTGCCCCCCCCACCCCCACCCTGTCATCTGTGGACACTGGAGTCTGGAATAAATGCTGTCTGTCACATCACACACCATGCTGTGGCCAGAGCTTCCTCTGGGGGACGGGAGGAGAAGGGGGCGCAGGTGATGCTCCCCTCCCCCGCCCTTGCAAGACCTGGGAGAAGTCTGATGTCATGGAGAAAGAAATGAGAGCAGAGAGAAACTCTGCTTGCTGGCCAAGGGTGGAAAAGAGAGGTGCCCAGGGCCCAGAGGGTGTTAAGTGCCTGCTTTGGAGGGTGGGGTGCTGTTCCCTTAAGTAAAATCCTCAGTCTTTCTTGCAGAGCCCAAATGGGAATTGAAGCTGCAGAACGGAGCAAAAGCTTTCTCTGAGCTGCGCAGTGGATGGAATTAGGGATGGAGCCGCCCCCTCTGAGAAAGGCAGGGTGCCTGCCTCTGAGGATTCCCTGGGGGAGGAGGGGTGACTTGGAAGAACCCACAAAAGGGTTTCCAGGGCAGAAAAGAGTGAGGCCAGTTAGAGAGACTTGCTGAGGAGGTCGAGGAAGAGAGCGATTTGAGAGAGAGATGGAAAGACGGGGAGATGGGGGGATGGACTGCAGAAGCCCAGAGATGAGACCCCGAGGGTCAGATGGACAGAGATTTGGGGAGAGAGAGGCAGAGACAGGCAAATACGGACAAAGAGAGAAACAGAACTGGGACTCAAAGATCACTACAGTCAGCAATTTGAAGAAAAAAGGTTAGAAGGAGCAGCTGAGAAGCAGGGGGGAGGGTGTTGGGGGGGGGCTGTGTGACCTTGGGCTCTCACACTTGGGCAGTGGAGGGGCTGCTGTAAGGCATGTGTGCGCCAGGAGTTCTCTGCACTCAGACCTTAGGTCTCCGGCAAGTGACTCGGCTTCTTTGTCCTCAGCTTGCTCATCCACAAAATGGACAAAGTGGGATCTGTCACCCTGGGAAAGTGGCGAGCTGCTATGGGAGCCTCCTGATTAGGGGACTGAGCCCATGCCCAGGGTCCCCAGAGCAGAAGAGCTCACAGCCTGATTGAAGATGCTCAAGTCCCACTGTTTCCTGAATTAGTTTAAAACAAATGAGAGAAACTGGAGAAAAAGAGGGAGCGGGTTAGCACACTTAGATCAATCAGGGCAAAAGTGATCAAGGTCCCCACTGCCTGAGTTTTGGGGTACACACAGCTCCAGAGCCCTGTCTCATCGTGGTGTGGTTCTGATGCCCACAGTGGAGGGTGAACCAGGGGGTTCTGCACCCCAAAGGTGCCAGGGCCACGGCGGGGGAGGGGCGGGGGGGGGCAAATGCTCTTGGCCATAACTGTAGCTGGCTGAAAACATGCTTGGCAGCCATGGCTTTTAACTGCATGGCTTGGGCACAGGACTCAGGGAACAGATCTGGAGTCACCAGCAGGAAGAACCTCACCAACACATGGACCTTGGAGCTTACTCGATCCTTCCATCTTTCCCATCTATGTTCAGATCATTCTTAACATGTCTACCAGGCCCCGTTAGTTGCTTCTGAAAAACTATTCTTTACTTCATCTCTCTGCCTCCTTATTCATGTGGCTTTCTTGTTTTCTATATGGCAGAAATGACTATCCTTTTTTTAAAAAATACAGCAGACACAAGAGAGTTGTTGAGAGAATTTGATAAGATAACTGTGGAAAGTGTTTATACAAAGCCTGGCACAGAGTATGTTTTCAGAACATGTTTATTATTAGTAGTATCATCATCCAAGGAAAATGGAGGGTCAGAGAGAAAAGCAAAATAGGGTCCCTTGGTCCAGGGAAGGGGCCAGGTGGAGAGAGATACCCCTGTAAGCACAGACATTGGTGAGGGAGGATCTGGGGAGCTAGAGGGGGGTGAACAGATGGCGGGGAGGGGAGAGAGGGACCCCAGGAACGAAGGGGTTCTCTATGCTCAGCACCTGGCCCCTGAGTTACTGAGGGGAGGGTCCTGGCCTGCCTCCCAGGAGGGCATACATTTGCTTAAGGTCCCTCATCTGCATGGCATCCCAGGCAATTTGCATACAGATGGCAGTCTGTGCCCTTGGTCCAGGTCCAACCCCTCCCACCTTGGCCAAGGGTCTGGGGGAAAGGGAAAGGGGAAACCCACAGGATATGGGGCTCCCAAGAAGTAAAAGCAAGTTTGGAGTAAACTACCATTGTTTATCCATCTTCTACGGCTCCCTGTTGCTCTTGAGAGCATGAGACACCCTTCGCTTGGCATTTAGGACCCAAAATGTTGCCCCTCACTCATAACCCACCGCTCCCTCTCTCACACATGTCCCCACCTTGTGCCTTCATGACTTTACTCTTCCTGGAATGCCCTCCCCTATTTCCCCCGTTGTCACAAAGCTAGCCTGTCCTTCAAAGCCTGGACATCTTGAAGGATTCTAGGAAGCTTTCACTCCCCTTTCCCTGTCCTGGGAATTTTATAGGCATCTGTGCCTCTTCTGGACTCCTATAGACTCCATCAGTAAGGATATGTTTGGTTGCAAATGACCAGAAAGGGAAAAAAAAGGGAGTCAAAAATTTGTGTAAGTGAAAAGGAAAATTATTCACTCATATAACCAGGATGATCAAAGACTGGCTACCTTCAGGCATAGCTGGATCCAGGGGCTCAAATAGTCTCACCAGAAAGCTGTCCTCTTCCATTTCACAGCTGCTGTCCTGCAAGCACAGGCCGGGGCTTTTTCTCTCAACTGTCCCCCCTAGCGCCAGATTTCTACCCTACCAGTTTAGCAACCCCCAACAGAAGAGTGTGTCCCGGGGCACCTGGCTGGCTCAGTTGGTACAGCATGCGCCTCTTGATCTCAAGGTTATAGGTTTGAGCCCCACGTTGGGTGTAGAGTTTACTTAAAAAATAAAATCTTAAAAAAAAAAGGGGGGTGTCCCTTTCCTATTCATTCGAGAGGAAGTCTGAAGTCTCAGGTCTAATTCCCATTGGACAGGAATGGGTCCCACCCCCATCCCTGAACCAATCCCTGTGGCCAGGGGATTGATCGAATGCTCTGATTGGCCAGGACCGGGTCAGGCTCACTCTGAACCGGAAGGACTGAGTGTAGGGGATTGCTTGTAGGAAACCTTGGTGGGGAGGGCGGGGTGGGGGGCTACTGCAAGAAGAAAAAGAGGTTACAGGTTGCCAGGCAGGTAAATACTTGGCACCAACTCCAAAGCTTCATCAGGAAGACTTTGGCCTTGTGCCTGCACCTCCGGGTGGTTATGGCTCTTCAGTGAAGTGCCACGGGATTGCTCGGCCCTGAAGGCTGACTCCTCAGGCATGAGACCCACCCAGGCATTTGTCAACAAACACAGCAGTGCTCAGCCTAATGCATGCTCCCTACCTCATGTGAAGGGCCCGTTAAACTCCAGCTTACCCTCCTAGGGCTTGCCTCCTGGGCTCCACAAAGAACAGCCAGGAAGGCTGAACTCACTCACCGACAGGCCCAGAAAAGAGCAGGTGCTACGGGGCCTTCCTTAAAGAAATCTCCCTGAGGACTGGGCACCTTGTTC